TGATGCACTAATATCTAAAGCCCATTGGCAATACAGTAATAGTACTGGGCAATCCATAGTAGAGCATGACATACTCATATTAGTTAGAGTATCCTAATAGAAGGGTTTCTGATATAAGCTTAACTACTTAACAACCATAGTATAGGAGCTCTCTAACTTTAATATAATCTACACCCTTCCACCACTGTAACCGAGTGGCATTTCAGCTTAACAATATCAAGGTTTATGGTTTTACTTTATTCTTTTACATCTATAAAAGCTGTGTATACAAAGTTTGAAATTTAGTATAGTTACATGCTCAAGATCTCTCTTCATTGAGGAGTCTAAAAAATTACAGCCTACTTCTACCAAACAAGCTAGGAGCAACATGGAAAATGGAGTCATAGTACTTCAAATATTAATCCTGAGTCATTCATCATCAGAAAATAAATTTCAATTACTGAAAGTATAGTTCAGACAGAGTATACAATAAGGTAAAGAAAAGAATATTGTTTTATATAATATTAGCCAAATAGTCAGAGAATACCACCAGCACAATTCCTGAATCTGGCATTAAAATAACTATAAAAACATGTACTCCTACTTTCCTCCTTTCAATCTGCTTGGCTATATATGATTCTTATCCACTAACACTACTGTACTTTACAAGTATCTAAGTAGTTGTACTTGTACAAGGAAATCAAAACTCATGTTTTAATTTTTCACATAACTTGATGTCCTTAACTTTGAGACTTTCAAAGGATTTTGTTGCTTGTTAGCAGCCACTTACTCTCTATTCTGTCATCAGTTTCACTGGTTGCTATTCCCCCTCGTGGATTCTTTTCTTTTTTCGCGTACCCCGCCCCCGGGTTCTTCAGCTGTTGATCACTCTTGTGGGTTTCCAAATTTTGTTCTCTTCTGCTCGCTAACCTTGCATGGCAAGGGTATTGCTCGTTCCGATTTTTACAGGCACTCCCGAGTATTTGGATACAACACCGATCGGCTGAGGTTGTCTATGTCACATCACAAGCAGATCCCTACTTGGCCGCAGTCGGCGGTTTTACGAGTGATACTCGGATACCCGGGGTAGTTGGCGAACAGTTAGCAACACATCTTGTTGGGAATAGCACCTGCACTAATGAGCTTGATTGAAAACTTGAAAAATTCCTTGAACGCTTAACGTACCCCACGGCGAGTCGAAACACACGGTGACACGAAACAGTCAAACATAGTATAGCTTAATACAAGTTATGCTGCAACCACCTCCAATGATAATTCACAATTAACAGGAATTGTCTCCGTCTTCAACCTCAATACCAATATCCAACTCATTCTCACGATGCTTTTCGCTTTCATCTTCCAGTCCTCCCTCCCCATACTCAATATCCAAATTGTTCAATCCTTCCAAAGCATTTCTCTCTTCTGCCTTTAATTTTTCATATGTGTTCTCCTTCTCTTTTACCAATTTTCTATATTTTTCGATTTTTTCCTCCAATTTCTTCTGCTCGCCTCCCAACTGAGCTGCAGATTTGTATCTTTTACTCCCTCCCCCTTCCTCCTTATCTTTCCTGTTATTTTCCCTCTCTTGCTGTTGCTTTATCTTGTTTTTCATTTCTGTAATTTTAGTTTGTGTGCTAGTATACAATCGTGTATAATATTCAAAGCTATTTTTTGCTACTTTTATTTTATCACTGTAATTAGTTTGAATAATCTTCTTCACATCACCAGCTGAAATAGCTGAGTTATCAACCTTTATCCTTCTCTTACCCTTTTTACCTGAGTTAATACCTTCTTCTATAAGGTATTGTCGTCTCTTCCGTTCAGTCTCTTTTTGTAAATTAAGAGTTGAACAGTGAAGTGAAGCGGAATGAGCAAGAAAGCGAACAGCAGCACGGGCGTTTCGGGATTGTGGTGTATTTCGATAGATGCTTTTCTCGGCGAAGGTTGCTAACTCAGTGATCTCAGACTCAGTTTTAGGAGTTCTCGGCTCGTATGGTGGAGGTGAACTGAAAGCTGAC